TGAAAGATCAAAAACTGCTGATCTTGAATTTAAAATGTTAAATACTTTTTGTGTGTGACATTCAATCAAAGTCCTCGGACTTTGGAAAAAGACATTGACATGACAGACAGAGAACAGGCCTATTGGGGCTGCGAGTACTTCTACTATAAAATGTACACCTGTGTGTGGGGTCGCCTCTTATCTTGTATCACTTAATACTACCCTGTTTGTCTTGTCTCCTTTCCTGCAGGTGATGGTTCACAGAACACCATTCCATTGGGTGAGTGTCTCTGTCTGTCTGTGTCTGCTCAGCTGCTATTTGATCGCCTCTGAGGCAAGAAGTGGTGTTTTCAGAGCCTGATGAAGTCCTTTTTATGTGCAGCTATTATGATACATGATGCAGGACATTATGTTGTCATGATGACATCTGTTTCTGTGTATGTGCATTTATAGGCCTGTGTGTGGGTGTGTGTGTGACTCGTTCCTCTCTGTAAAATAACTCAGAGGGTGAACTTCTCAACATTCAGAGTTAAATTACACTCATGTGTTATGTGAGCACGTTCACTAATTACCTCAGCTAAGGGCCTCATCAGCATAACCGCTGTTTTATATATAATAATGATTATGTTGAATCATTAGACAGCTCAAGTGCTCTTGTATTGCAAATGTGTAACTACTACCAGTTAACTGCAGTGGGTATTTGTATTTTAAATGAATTACATATCACATTACATGAGGTATTAACCTATCAGTGTGCGTGTTTCTGCTTCCAGGTGAGCTGTCCTCTGTGGGGTGTTTCGTTCATAAACGAACAAGGATTGTTGGAGGAGGTCCAGTGAGCATATCAGACGGCAGCTGGATGGTCAGCATACAGAAAGGGTACAGCAGTGCATTTAATATTCCACACATCTTCCTCGAACACTGAAAGAAACACAAGAGGCTATCCTGCCCACACGACTCTTGAATTCATAAATAATTCCGTGAAATTTCTTTCTATATATTTTTGTTTTCTGTTTAAAAGAGGCTTTTCCACTATGCTCAGTATTACTGCATGCAAATGTTTGAGAAATATATGTACGTATATATGAACCTGCAGAAGTTTTGCAGAGAAACAGAACTCATCTAATTGTAAACGTTATCTATTGTTTAGGAGGAGTCAGTGTAGTACTACAGCATTTTTTCACTGCAGTACCATCAGCACAGTTTAAAGCCTGCAAAGACAAATTTTAGTGTAGACAAATAAAATTATTTCTAATTCCCCAAACAATGCAGTAGAACAGGACTACAAGGCAAACGTTTAAAATACACTGCATTTATAGTAAGCTTGGCTTTCCTCACAGTTAATTCAATACATTACTATGCAAAATGTCAATCTCAATAGTTCTAAACCTGCATGTTTAGAATGGGCTGTTTGCGTGGCCTGGTTGCAGCTTACTTTCTGAAGATGTAAAAATGACCTGCAATAATTGAGACGCAGCAATACACATGGCAAGCCGATAGAATGAATGGATCTTGAGATATGTGAGCCACAGACAGACAGCAATTTCTGGAAGTGGTAGATAGATACACTCCTCAACAATGACAGCATGATGTATTGGATTAGTCCTCTATATATGTGCCCTTCATGTCTTGTTCTTTCCCTAGCTCCATGCACTGGTGTGGGGGTTCACTGATACGAGAGAAGTGGGTACTCACTGACAGACAGTGCTTCTCCTCATGGTAATGCTCATCGTCTTTTAATGTGAATTATTTTCTTTTGCTTAAACCTTAAACTGTTTCTGCACTTTCCTTTTGTAAATCAATGTATTAAATGCAAAATGTATTAATTCATTTCATATACAGTATGTCCCCTATATTAAAGCTTGATTGACTTGTTTCAGTTGCTACTGTTCCCCAGTAATAAAGGTGGAATATTTTATAAAGTATTAACTCTGTCTTCTGCCTCTCCAGTGTTCCAGACCTCAGTGAGTATCGGGTATGGCTGGGAGTCTCTGATATTGGAGAGGGCGCTGCTGACTCCAACAGACAGGAAGTCAGCATAGCTCATGTGATATGTGGCCCAGAGGGCTCGAGTTTAGCCCTCATAAGGCTGTCGAAGTGAGTGCCTGGAAAAATCACCTTGAGGATACACTACCTTGATATACAGCATGTTTGTGTGTGCGAGTGAATATGCGATGTCAATCATGCTCTGTATTTTCTGTCTTCATTAAATATGTCCAGGCCTGCACTACCTGCAGACAACGTCCATACGATTCAGCTGCCTGTGGCCGGGTGCTCCATCCCAGAAGGAACGATATGTAAAATGTATGGATGGGGTGAGACCAAAGGTAGTGATATTCAATATTGATATTCTATATTTCATATTCACTGCAGCTGCTGCACAGATATACACACACTGCAGGTCTGCCAGCTTTACGATATACAGTATATTGTATTTTTCCAGCAGCAATCCTGATTTATTTTCTTTATTCTTTTTCCTTTTAATGATATATACGGCGGAGGAGCGACTACACTGTAACACAGTCGTCTCTTAATAGCTTCGGCCATATGTTTCTAAACCTTGGATGAGCATTGCTCATTGGGTGGCTTGATGGACAGATGGGTTTAAAGTAAAAATATGTCTGCGTGTCTCATTTAGACTTCCCTCCATGTACTTGAAAATGGAAATATAACTTTATTATATTTATGTTATATTGCAGGATCATGTAGCGTAGGAGTTCTCCAGCACAATGGCAGCATTTGTATCACATGTGCCACAACACAACAGAAGCAATAAAGTGCAATTTTCAACTCTTTCAGGCACTGGACATGACGATGTGTTAAAAGTGGTTAACATGCCCCTCGTCAGCAACGAGCGGTGTCGAGAAATGCACAGAGGGAACTTCCACATCAGTGACACCAAGATCTGTGCAGGTGGCAGGAGGAATGAGGGAGTGTGTGAGGTAAACTGTTACTAAAGAACAATCCACATTAGAACTTATGGTGCATTCAGGACTTGTTGGTAAACAAGAACAAGCCTTTACAAGTTCAGATACAGTGATTGTTCCCAGTGTGAATTTAGGAGGATATTAAAGCCTTGGCTCCACATTGCACTTACAAAGCTCAGTTTGATCTAAATCTCAAACAAATGTTCTTTGAAACCAAAGGCTTAGTATTCAGTCTGTTGTAAATAGAGCAGCTGTAGAATGTTGCACTAAATTTCATCAGCGATTAAAGCTCGGTTTTGTGGTTTCTAGCTTTTGAAAAGAGATGTCCATGTTCACAAATACTGGAGGCACTGTCGCTGAGGGCATAAAAAAATATCAAGCTTTAATTAAACCCTCTGAAAATGTAAACATTGATGGCAGCCATGTCTTAACCACTGATGCAGAGAACCGGCTATGTATTTCTTCTTCTGTAGAGGGATTATGGCGGCCCTCTTGTGTGTCAGGATGGTGACATCAGGGTTATTGTTGGCGTGAGCGTCCATGGCAGAGGCTGCGCTCGGGCCAACCAGCCTGGCATCTTCATCAATGTGCCCTTCTACGCGCAATGGATCCACAAGGTCTTCAAATACTACCCCAACCCTGAGACTGATTAAACCAAAGTCAGAGGAGAATAAAACAGAACCAGGGGACAAAATCCACCCTGGAGCCTCAACTTCTGTAAATCCACACTCAGGACACCAGATGTCTATGTTGTCCATTACCAGCGGGTCAATGTAAACTGATCAAAGAACAGATGAATGGAAAGGGAAACATTATGATGTCAGATTTAAACATATTATTAACAGACACAACACTGATCCTGTGACTCACTGACGGTAATTATGAAGAGGAAAAAAATATTCGTATTTCAGAAATGGGAAATGAAGCTGTAGCAAAAGAAAGGATCCATTCCAAGTTTTATATTACAGTTAAAGGGAAAGATATCCTTGATTGAGTTTGAAGCACACCAGACAAAACATTTGGTGTTCATGTATTTTTTGTCTTTTATTGGGAATTCACCAGAGCATGTGTGCATGTGAATACTCTTGATTCCTGGCATTACTTGAATGTTCTAAAACACCAAAGTGCAGTGGTTCAGCAGCTCCCTTGGTAGAGTACCTCAATGGGCCACTTAGAAATACTATCCGATGGTAGGGCAACGTTAAGGGCACTCTCACCATAAAGTGGCCCTTACTGTACATAGTATTTTAATGAGTGTATTTGACACTCTAGAGGTGATTTGGGTCTTATAGATCTATGACAAGAGAAAAATTAATGTTGTGTTTGGCAGAGTAATTATGTACAGAATGTTATCTACATATATATATATATATATATGTTTATGTATATATATATATATATATATATATGTATGCTTTTAGCCTCCTGTGTAGATAGAGGAATGTAAGGCTGTCAGCAGAAAATGTAACATTCATGTGTACAAGCAAGCTTTTTCTATACAAAATGTAATATTTCCTTAATATGCTTATGTTAAATCATCATGGGTGTGTATGTTTAGGTTTGTGTGTGTGTGTGTGTGTGTATTTTTCTGCAGCAGTGCCTGTATGCAAAAAAGAAACTGCAGAAGGAGAGTGTATGTGTGAGTGAGTGTGTGTGCATGTAAGGTTGTGCATGTTCGAGCCAGAGCTGAATGAATTATCCTCTCCCCACACTCAGGCCTTGGCAGTCCTCCAATTCCAATCCACTCTGGATATTAGCCTTGCAGTCCGTCACTTTAAACTTTGTCATGGAAAGGAAGGTTTGGTCTTCTTAACTGTGTTGTCTGTAATAGACGCTTCACTGAGATGACTGAAAGCCCTTGAAACAAATTAACACCCCTCTTTTACCAGTATAAATGATGGAGCTTGTTTTATATTGTAAATACATTATGTTTGTTTAAGAGTGTATGTGTGTGTGTGTGCACTGAAAGATGCTGCAAGCTGCTATATCCTAAAGGTTGTACAGTGCTGTCTTCTGTTCTCTGTATATTGTACATTGACTATAAACTTCATGTCATTTTAACCAACACGCTAAATATAAAACATAATTCCAGCGATTATTTTAAATATGTTATGATGTCTGTCATATTAAATGTTTTTTATCAAATCTCTGACTTTCTTCAGTGTTCCGGATTCTGTACAATTAAGTCAAGGCTGTTATACTTCCCCACCAGAAGATGGCACCACAGTAGCACCCTGACTCTAAAATGTCCTTCTAATCTTACTAATCTCTCTGTCCCTCTCTCACACATACATATCCCCACATATTCCTACACATCCACTTTGATAGAAGTAAAAGATAGATATGAAGGGTAAAAGTGTGTGTGTGTGTGTGTGTGTGTAGGTACAAGGGCAGAAGAGCAAGAGTCTGAGAGCTGTAGATTAAAAGCTGAATCCATCGATGCAGTATTGAGGAACTTATAGAGCAAGCAGAAAATACATGGGGATCGACACATTCTGTTGCTATACACAATGTGTGCTGACACCACACACACATATGGTATATATACACACACACAGAGACACACAGAGAGAGCGTTCTGTGATAACAGATACGGGAGAAGCATCAAAGGGGGATGAAGCGTAAGAAGATTGCTTTCATCTGCAGGTCAGCTGGACGGACAGAAAGACAGAAAATGCAGCAGACATAACCAGGAAGACAGATGGAAGGACAACTGTGCAAAGACACACACACACACACACAGAGAGAGAGAGAGAGAGAGAGAGAGAGAGAGAGAACAAGTGTGAGAATGAGCTGACTTCACCCTGGCTCAGTGCACCGTGAGATCTACAGCATACACGAGTCTAATGATCCAGAGAACATGGCTTGTGTCAGGGCTGTTCAGGCTGGCGTGAAAGCTCTTGTCTGTGTGTGTGTGTGTGTGTGTGTGTGTACACTAGACAGAGAACAGACTAGGAAGTGAACATTAACTCATGACTCTCAAGTCTCTCTTTCAGTGCATCTTAATTAACACATGAAACTACCTTGATGGCAAATATGTTGAAATTACATACACGTAAAAAGACCAATAATAATAATATGAATAATAATGATAATAACTTTGATCATCTTGCACAATTGATGTAGAAAATGCTTCACACAGGAGCAGCTTAAAACATGTATAAGTCAACATTAAGCAGGTTAAGCTTGTTATCAGGTAACACAATAAACAAAAATGCATTCTATTAGATCAATAAAATAGAATCAGGACAGCAGGACAAGACAAAGAGAAATAATCATTGGAGAAGGCTGGTAAAAAAAAAAAACGTGTCTTTGGGCGTGTTTTGTTCATGTCAAAATATTTAGAGCATATGGGAAGAGTTAATATTTATTTTATCAGGAAAAAATCCTTTAGCTGGATCTTAACTTCTCGATAGGAGTCTCAGAATAAAGCAAATAAGTGCGTTATTAATAAGGACTACACTGGAGATTTCGTGAATTCTGCTGCTACTGTAAAGGACCATGAACAGAATGAGTTGGTTCCTCATGAATTTCAAACTAAATCTAGAGATGGCCGTTGAAATTCAGTCATAGTTGCAGGGCACTCTCACTGCATGCAGAGATCTAAGTGCAACTGGTGGCGCCTCGGTCGCTCTGCATGTGTGTGTGTGTGTTACATGTGTGTGTGAGAGCATAAGAGAGAGCGCAGTTAAAAGAGGGAGAAGGAAAATGAGAGAGACTGATTATCCCAGGGAAAAGCTTTTATAAGCCACAGGACTCCCATTACAGATCACTGAGTTTCAGACTTGGTTAGAAGAAGAATATCTTTTATAATTTAATTGGGTTGTCTTTGTAATGTCATTTAACCTCTTTTTAGGCCCTTTCTCTCCTCTCAGTGGACTCCTCAGCTTTAGGACTGAAGTGAGTAGGTGTGTGTGAGAGCAGGTGTCATGTGTAGGGCTCCTGTTGCCGAGGCAGAGGAGAGTGTGTGTGAGATAATAGCAAACCTTTTTAAATCATCCTTCCTGTATCAGCATTTCAAACTTGACACATGATCCTGTCTTCATGCTTAGTTTACTGTCAGGCGGATTCTCACGTTTCATAATGTGTTCAGTAAATAGAAAAAACCAGTGAGTAGAAAGTGTAGCGTTATCAAACACCTCAAATAAAAAGCTACTGTTTGACTTAGACAATAACATTGAGTCCAACTCTGGAGATTCAAAATTTAAAAAAAACTAGCTTAAAATATATATTTTTGAGCGTTGCTGGAAATTGCAATTCAAAAGGTCGGGGACGTTGAACCCTCCACTTAGTGTTCAGTGTATACTATACAATAGATCTCAAAGCTCGTGAAGTCAGAATCAAACAAAGAGCTTGACTGTCAATGACATCTCATTGTGGAAACGTGCAGGAGGTAACGTGCAGCAAGCAAACTTTTTCCAGCATTAACTTCAGTGATCTTTCCAAATGTTTTAACTCCTTATTACAACTCTTTACTGCTTACTTTACATGTCAAACTTGTTTCCAGATGCAGCAGGCAGTTGTTTTCTGTTGTTTTGATAAGATCCCCTCTGCCCTACCTCTCCAGTACAAAACAGCAGACACCACAAAAGCTTCTGGTGGAAATAGTGAAGCAGTAGCCAGTTTAAGAGCCAAATATTTCCCTCAGGAACCAGAGCTAAAAGTAAAGTGAATATTCAAATGATTATATTTAAGGCAGCTAGACACAACCTCCTGGATGCCAGTGTTGCTCAGAGTCTGTGGCTGAATGTGTCACATGTTTGCTCATCAAACTCACATATGAAAACTCAAGTATGTAGAAGCATTATGAAAACTGTATATAATGTTACCTAGACTTTTTTAATGGTGATCTTGAACACTCGGATAAATTATTTGGTGCAGCTGAGAAAGTGCTGGCAAACAACTTATCATAGATAATAAGTTAAACTTCATGATAACTAATTCCTGACACAACGCAGCCTGATAGTAAGACTGATGAGAAGTTTAACCGATAAACTGAGACTAAAACCAAATTGACAAAATAGCTGTGTAGAAGATACATCTTTGTGATGCAGGTCAACACAACTCAATATAATATAAATATAATATTATGTGAAAAGCAAAGCTACCTGTGTTTTCATCTGTACAATATATTTTTTTTGATTTGTTGGGCTTAATGATAGTTCGAACTGATGGAGGGGTTCATGCCTGAACACATGTTGGAGATTATTACTACTCACTAAAGGACAAGAGAAAGTCGGTTATATTTATAGAAATAATCAGTTTTCGACAGTTGGATATTTAGTCTTGAGCATTAATCTTCCATCGTATTTGTTGGTGCACATATTGGATAGCAGCCTGCTCTCTAATCATATAGCTGTAAACAAGGGAATCAAATTGCTTATTTTACCACAAGTCAACTCTCATTCCTGGTTTTGATAAATTTCATGCGAACAGTGATGTGTTACCTATGTAGCATAATCATATCACATAGCTTTTAACTAAACGTTATCTTTTTGTACATCAGTATCCTATTTTTTTATCTCAGTTGGAACTTATACATTCTTGTACAGTTGCACTTTACTGATTATTTTTTATCTACACAAACAATAGTTTTCTGTATGAAGGGTGTATATTATGTACATAGTCTGTATCTTCTTTTATTCTGTAGACTTGGTCAATATTTTATTCTCTTGTCTTGTCTCTACCTCATTCGGACTTGTTTGCTGCTGTAACTAGGGATTCTACCAGGTGTGGGATCAATTGAGTTTGATCTTATCTTATTTTTATCCGGATGTTTGGAAAATCTAACTTGCAAAAAAGTCTGAGTAAAGAGTCCAATCTTTGCTCAGCCGCCACTTTGCAAACACTGTGGAGTAAATCACTTAAGCAAATATTAATATTAATATTCCAACAAATTGACATTTATATCATACTCATATATTTTGGGCAGGTGTAAGGACAGTTGATTAAAGAGAGGATTGCTTTGAATAGGAAAAATCCAAATTCTGTTTGTGGTGGCATTTTCATTAATACACACAGATTTTTGGGTTGTCGAGCTTAGATAATTTAGTCTCACAAAAACGTTGCCTGTGGTTCAATCTGCACCTTTTTCTCTGTGACATCTCAAGGTCTGGATCAATGGCTGCGGTAAATCAGTTGCTGTGTCAGTGGCTGTGTTGATATTAATCATTACTTATTCAATCTGGGGCCCCGGGAGCGTCACGACAGACTGAGAGACAGACCGCCAGACAGGCATAGACACAGCAGGGTGAATCATCAGAGGTGGCTGACAGGCTGGGGGACATTAAACAGGATTGTCTGGAAGATCACTAAATCCCAACGTGACAGCCAACTTCCCC